GAACTGAGGTCTGCAGGGACAGAGCTGGCAAGGTGGTCACGGTGTGCGATCGTCATGGTGCTGACTTTCTTGTGGTCACAATTTCTGATGCCGTTTAACTCATCTTACCATTTTTGGATGTAAGATCAAAATGAAATGGCTCTGAAGAACACATTTGGAGTCAAACCCTTTGAGATCCTCCCTGAGAGGCCAGGTGACTGGGCTCACACCTTCCGTGTCCCGAGGGCACTGGGCAGCGTGGGCCTTGGAGTGGGCCCAGGAGGGCACAGGCCTTTAGGCTCTCACACTTGCACACCACGCCAACCCACCCCTGACGGGACGAGGGGTCACTTCCGCTACAGCAAAGATAACAAGGCTTTGGTCATTTACACAGAAAACAAACTCACATTCAGACCATAGGGGCCCACAGGGCACCCCGCAGCCTGAGCACGGAGAGCCACGTGGGCTCCACATCCCAGGCAGCAGCAGAGACGATGCCCTAGGACCCCACCCTGCCCCACACGCCAAGCTCAACATCTGCGGCCACGTCCCGACTGGTCGGCAGAGGACTCGTCCTGTACAGAGACAGGCACAGACAGAGCGAGCCCAGAAGACCTGCAGACCTGGTCGCCAGCTGCCCTGGCCTCACTCTCGTGATATCCATGGTAACATCTGTCTCTCGTCAGTAAGCCAGATGCTGGGTATTTGGGCTTTAATGCATCAAGCAAAACAAGGGATCCACATTGTCCAGAAAGCAACCTCTCTCCTGCCCTCTGGGCAGGAAAAAGACTATGAATGCAACTTGGGTTGCTCCTGGAAACTGGCCTGTTACACACAATAGTAGGTAAATCACCTAACTGTGCTCCACAGTCTTCAAAGCCCATGCTTACTAAGTTTGTGCTCTATGCTGTGTCTCCCGGCCTTGTGCAACACGCTGTAACTTATTTGATAAAGCAGTAAGTAAGCCAAGTGCCTTTCCTGACTGCCCTCTTGGAAACTCCCCGAGGAGTGGACACTCACAATCTCAACAGGCGCTGCTGGGGGCTGAACTGCGCCCCCTGTTCACGGATGAAGCCGCGGCCCCTGGTGTGGCTAAGACTGGCTGTGGGGTGGGGTAACTAAGATGGAGGGGGTCACACGGCGGAGTCCTCGTCCCTAGGGCTGAAGTCCTCACAAGAAGAGGAGGAAGAGGAGAGGTTTCTCTCTCAGTGGCGCATCAGCACACAGCCTGCAGACGCCTGGCCTCGGCCTATAGCCCAGACCCAGGGACGCGCTCCGCCGTCTTCGCTCCAGGGCAGCCACACGCTTGTCCCGCTTTCTACCTATGCAGCCGGTGCACAACACCCAGTCACGGTTGCTGGGCATCTGGGAGGACAGCTCTTCATGAGGCGTTTTCCTTCCTTAGTCCGGACTTTAGCATCCGGTTTCTACACAGCGACGTGGATGCTGGCCGACGCCCACTGAGCTCGGCTTGGTCTCACCTCCCAGGACGCAGCAGGAGCCCGGGCAGAGGGCACAGGGGACACAGGAGCTCACTTCTGGGCGGGCGCCCCGGACACAGCACCCTGAGACCCCCTCACCCAGTTTCACAGCTTAAGCTCGCCCTGGGTGGCCCCAAGCCGGGAGGGCACAGGCATGGGGGATGCGGGGCCCACCACTGAGGAACAGTCCAGGTCAGACCAGAAGGCGGAGACTCACGGTACCCCTGGGGTGGCTGCCTTCACTGAGTAAGCAGAGCCACCTCAGGGCCGGGGCAAGACGCAGCCACAGCCACAGCCACATGGGCGGAGAGCTGCGCCGACCACAGAGAGAACAGTGAGAGGCCCATGGCTCACACAGGCTGGGAAGCTCCGCAGGGAAGGAAGAGGCGGGCGGTGTCCAAGGAGACCTCGTCCACCCTCACCTGGCAGGGTGCTCACTGCGGTCAGCCCAGTGGCCTCGGGCTGGACACTGAGTCCCCAGGGCCCATCTGCCAGGCATGGGCAAAAGCTCGGGCAGCACAGCATCGAGGTCACATCAGGGCTCCTCCCCGCGCCCGGCCACCAGGTGCTGCTCTGTCCCCGTGTCACCTCTGCTGCCCCCTGGGCTTCTCCAGCGTCCCTGCAGCTCGCAGCAGCCCCATCAGGCAGATGGGAAGGGGTTTCTCAGGGGGCAGAGACAACCTCCCCTGCTCCAAGCTCTGCCACAGCTGTCCATGTGCACTGGACACCACCGAAGTGCTGGGCACGCGCTGCACCTGACAGTCGGTGAACACAGACGTCACCAATGGCATCCAACATGTGTGCGGCCTGTGAACTACCACGTCCTCGCTCCTGGGTGGGCAGGGGCCAGGGGTGACCCTGGCAGAAAGCCCTGGGCCAGTGACAGCAGCGGCTGGGCCCTGTTTTGCACACCCAGGGAGCCGGAGCCCCTGCTCTCCTGCACTCTGAGCCACCTGCCTGGACACAGCATCGTGCGGGCCAAGCCCCTGGCAGCTCTGGCCTTCTCACCGTCCACTGTGACAGGGACTTCTCAGGGTGTGTAGGGTGGACACCTGGCAGGTGACCTCAGCAGCTAGGTTGGGGTGCTCATAGAGGGTCGCCCCGCCTGAACCCCAGGCAGCAGGGCCGGGGACTGGGTGTGACCAGGCTCTGGCTCAGTCAGCACCTAGAGACTGGGCCATGCTTCTGTGGGTGAACAGGACACAGTGGACGGCGAGAGCAGGCTGAGCGGGCACCACCCCAGCAGAGTGGGGGACCGTCCCTGGCCACACGGAAGCCAGGTAGCGGGAGGGAGGACAGCTGGGACACAGGACAGGGGCGGGCAAACCCGGGCCTCTGTGGCTCAGGAACCCTGCAGCCCTTGGCAGGCTGGCTGTGAGGCTGAGGGAGGGTGTGGACGGAACCCTGGAGGGGCCCGTGCCGGACCCCAGTGGACAGTGGACGTCACTCCTCCTCCTCCTCCTCCCGGGAAGCGGCACCCACAGCTCAGGCTGCTTCTCGGGGAGGCACCTGCGGGCCAGGACCTATCCGGGCCCAGGAGCCCTCGGTGTCCCTGGTGCTCACCCTGCCCTCTAGGGTTTCTCCAGTGGGAGCCAGGCGGGGGCAGGCGCCACCTCCAAGGGCTGCTGCTCTTCCTGTCTCGCAGAACACATAGCGGCCTGGCTTCTGGGAAAACGGCCTCTTCCTAGGCCACAGGCCTGCCTTCAAAATCTCTCCTTATCCCCCAACTGGGGAGCAAAAGGATATTATTTTCATTCCCTTTGCCAGTAAAAAAAAAATTACCTTTGTCACTTGAGATGCACAAGAAATTGACAGCCCTTTCCTGAGTGTTTTCAAAGCACTTCACAATGTACAGATCATTTCCATGTACACTAGGTTACTCGATCCCCGGCCTGGGGCAGGGAGACAACAGACGCCATTAGTCTCATTTTACAGCCGCTGCCGGGGGAGGCTCGGATGGACAGCTGGCCGCACGGCGTGTGGGGCCCCGGAGCAGGGCTGGCCCAAGGCCCCAGTGGCCAGCTGGCTCAGGCCTTGGCGACTTGCGGCTGAACGTGAGGCCCATCACAGAGGCAAGACAAGTGCAGCCTGCTGGAGACAGAGTTCTGCACCAAGACATGAATGGACTGTGCTGATGTCAAGCACCCGGCCGAGGCCCCTGTGCTCCATGGCCACCGCAGGTGGAAGCAGGGATGGTGAGCGACAGGCAGGGAACTGCCTCGCAGGACAGGGTGGCCCATACTTGTCCCCACTGTAGTCTGTGAAGCGAGCCTCCTGACAAGCAGCGGTTCTGATGCCTCCAGAATCAAGCCTCAGAAAGACAGGAAGCACCGTGCAACAGGGAGCCTGCAGGCGGTGGGTGCTTCCTAAACACACTCAAAACAAGACCAGCTTAGCTGCACTCAGAGGGGTAAAAACAAGGAAAAAGCAGCAAACACCCAAAAGCCCGTTACCAACTGCCCTGACGTGGCCAAAGTCAGTGCATGACTTTTACTCAGTCAGCTGCTCCCCACACCTCTTTAAAGATGCTGAGAAACAGTCACAGGATTGACTTGTAGCTGTGGGGACAAAGCAGCCAGCGACCACATGCTGGGGTCCGGCACAGACCAGCCGCTGAGAGGGCAGAGGTGGCTCCGGCCTGTCTGCGGCCCACACCCTGTCCTGCAGGAGGCAGGAGTGAGCGCCCTGTCCCCCTCCGCAGAGGCACCCTGCCTGCCAGGGCGCCCTTCTTGGGACGGGTGACATGTGGCAACCTCCCGACTTCTCTGCACAAACAGAGCCTGGGGACGCGGCACCGAAGGCACAACTGAGAACCTGAAAACAATGGGAACGGCTTGCTGTGCTCTCCTCACACATCAGCTCACAAGCGGCCGAGAAGGACCTGGCCAGCAGGACGGCCACAGACGCCCTGGATCCCCCGAACAGCCCGCCCTCCAGCAGCCGGGCCACAGGGGTGGGACTGGTCAGCACCACCAGGAAGTGGCTCTGAGACGAGGAGGAGTGTGGAGGTGATGTGCGCGCCCCGTGTAGAGGCGCTGGCAGACACTCGACTCCTCTGAAAGCTGCTGAGTGCCCAGCAACCACAGGGCCGGTTCCCACCTGCGCCAGGGTGAGGGGCTCTTCGAGCTAACAGCAGGGCGCCCGTCCTGCAGGCAAAGAGCACAAAGTCTGCACTTGTGCGAGGGACTCAGACATCGGCTCTCCAGAGCCGGCTGCTTTTACACAATGGTTTTCAAGTTCCTGAGCAATCTCAGGACTGCGCTCCCAACATGAGCTCTGGAGGGGCGTCGTTGCCGTTCCCCACTTCCAGACCCTAAGCCCTCAGGAACAGAAGCAAGAGAACACAAGCCAGCCGGGTCCCAGGGAGGGCGGGTGCACGTGAGCGGGAAGGCGGCACCCAGAGCCACCCGCCTCGGACCAGAGGCCATGTCGAGGCCCTGCGCTTGAACCAGACACCTTCAGAGCCCTGGCCACCTGCTTGATTTTTTTAAAAGTCTGTGAAGTGTTTACTTTATTTTTATTACTTTTACTAGCCGAGTTTGCAGTACAGAATGATGCCACTCGCCACAGGGAGTGGGTGCCGGTGCAGGACACGGCTCTGCAAAATGCTCCAAGGAAAGAACCCAGGAGCCTGAAGATGGTCTTTCACCTCTCAGTCCCTGCAAGCCAGGGACGTCGCCTCCTGCACTGCCCAGGGTGGCTGGCTGCTGTGGCCATCACAGGACGCTGGGGGGTGTCAGGCTCGGGTGTCTACAGAGGGCGACTCTGCGGAGTGGGCCAGGCTCCCGGGGCAAAGCTGGACACAGGGCCTTGTGGGATTGTGGCAGGGGCAGTGTGGGCACCAGCTCCGAGGCCAGCCGGGCCCGGGGGGCAGATGTAGCACCTGCTCAGGAAGGGCCAGGGTCAGCAACCCCACAGCACTGGTTCCTCTCGGGCCGCACAGCACCGACCACTGCACTGTCCACCCTGAGGCCCGTCACACCCTTCTGGCCTGTGCCCCGGTTCCACACGCAGTCTGCCTGGCTCTTGCCGCCTTCTAGAGTCCTCCAAGCCACGCTGATTTTATTTGTCACTGTCTGTCTCCCTGTCCCAGGTGAGCTCCATGGGGGGATTTGGCTCTCTGCATCCCACTGGGCTGGCAAGGTATCAAGGGGCACCAGGGGAGCCCTAAGCTGGAAACCCAGCTGGGGTACTGAGGTCAAGGAGAGGGAGGGAGGGAGGGAGGGCCCCTGGGGCGGGGCAGAGGCTCGGCAGGCGGGAGGAAGGGAGGTGGGCAGCAGGAAGAGCAGCAGGAAGAGCAGCAGGGCCACCAGAGCGCAGCTGCAGGACTGGCCTCTCAGGAGGGGCGACACGCCAAGCCAGGGGAGTGGAAGGTGGCAGGGGCCGCCGCTGCTCCATCCATGCTCGTGGCCTCCTGGCCCCAGGGTGTGACCCACAGCGGTGGGAAAGGTGTCCCCCTTGTGCAGCACCTGCCACAGGAGAGGGCTCCGTCCCATTCCATCCTTGCGGGCCTCGGCAGGCGGGGGCAGCAAGGACCCCTCTGAGGGGAGAGCAGCAGGCGCAGAGAACCAGCCCTGGTCCCAGGGGCAGCGGTGGCCTCTGCCGCCTAGACTCACTGCTGTGATCTTCTTTTGTGTTTCTCGGATGACGGTGTCCACGTGAAACCAAAAATAACCCCTATTCAATCTTGCTGAATCTCCAGTGCTGTAAAAATTGCTTTCTATTGACTGGCACTGCAAATAAATAAATAAATAGCGCCTGTACCTGCATTTAGCTCGGTTAACAGAGCGTCCATGTTGAGATGCGGGGACCTCACATCCACTTGGTTTCTGCCGAGCCTGGGTGCTGGCACCAGAGAGCAACGTGTGGGTTTCGGAGCCCAACACACTGGCAAACAGAGGGTGCCGGCAGGGAGCGCCCTGGGTCCACAGCACATGCGGGGCCACTCTGACCAGGCAAGGGGGACGGTGCGGCCCCAGGAGCTCACGGACCGGACAACACAAGTCCGAAGCCATCACACTGAGTGTCTGCCATGAATAAAAGCACCTACCAATCACTTGTTCTCCAGGAGCAGACATACACAGGGCTCCAGGGAGAAAGGGTGGGAGCAGACACAGCACTGGAATGCAAAGGGTAAACAAAGCCAGGCATGGTGGTGCACGCCTATAATCCCAGCTCCCTGCGAGGCTGAGGCAGGATGATTGCAAGTTTAATTCTACTTGGGGTAATTTTGCAAGACTCTGTCAGAACAAAAAAACAAAAAAGGGCTAGAGCTACAGCTCAGTATGAAGGGTTCACTCCCCAGCACAGGAAAAAACGTTAACTATACAGTAAGTAGACTACACCAAAACCTCCTACTGGAACACACATGGCTCTAAAGGCAGGCGCTCAGCTAACCTGTCTGATGGCTGCCTTGTTAAACCCGTGTTAATTACAAACTTTATACGGCCATCTAAAGATCGAGTGCCACACACTGCCAGGGACAGACCAGCCATTAGTCGGGATTACTTGCCTCAGGATTCTCTTATGTTGAGGACCCAGAGGCCTCAGCGGTTCAAGTGGTTTCACTTAGTGTCCTGTGGTGCAGACTAAGGTCCCTGTGTCACTAAAGCTGGATTAGGGAAGGCGACAGCACAATCAGGCAGCATTTCAAAGGGCCTAAAATGGGCCATGGGCCGGGGTGATGAGCCAGGTGAGTAACCCTATCAGGCCTGACGTTTTTGTTCCAACCATTTGCTAATGAAAATAAGAAAAGCAGGTACAGGAGCTTAACAGTGATTAAACTTTTTAGAGTGATTAAACTTTTTAAAGCACTCTAATCAGCAATGCTGTAACTTCTCAGGTATAAGAGAATGTTTATTCTCTATTATAGAGAAATTACGGCTGGGTGTGGTGGCACCCACCTGTAATCCCACTCAGGAGGCTGAGGCAGGAGGACAGCTGAGAGCTGGAGGCCAGCCTGGGCTACATAGTGAGTTCCCAACCAGCTGAACTACAAAGCGAGACCCTGTCTCAAAAATAAAAAGAATTAAAAAAAAGAAATTACAATGTAGTAGTTTGCTTCAAAAATAAATAACCACTGTCAGGGAAAACTCCTGCAGAGTTTTTGAAATTTGACATGTTGGAATGTTTAAGAATCTGCTGGAAGGGCCGGGGACTTAGCTTAGAGGCACCAGGCCTTGCCTGCCAAGCAAAAGGTCCTGAGTTCAATTCCCAGCACCAAAAAAAAAAAAGAGGAGAAGAAGCTGGAAAGCAAACATAGTAAGGTAGAAACTTTGACAGGCTGCAAAACAAAACTAATAAACCATCCAGGCTGAATTACAGGAGCAAATTACTTGGACATAACAAAACCAAGCTCGTGAGCCATGGAAACTTGAAGAGACATGGAATCCTCTCAACACAGGGCCTGCAGAGTGGAGACGGACGTGTCGTTTAACCAGGGGCCTGCAATGCTCGACCTAAATAAACCCCGTGGCTGGTGTGGCCACAGCACCTGTACTCTGTCTGCAGCTCCGAGTACCGTCCTGAGCCCTCCATGCTGCAAAGTACCCAGAGCTTGGCAGCCTGGGCCCTGCTAGCCTGTGCCAGTCCATGTGGGGACACAAGGGGTCTCTCTGCTCTCAGGCAACCCTGCCAGGGCCTGTGCCGTGTGAGCCACCACAGTGACACAAGTGCACTGGGCACTTCCTGGGAGCCAGGCACAGGCTTCAGCAGAGCTCACTTGGTCCTTACGATAAACCGGGCAGTGGTTCCGACAATCCTCAGACAAGGACCCTGGGGCAGGGAGAAGGCTGGGCTGCCCGTGCCAGGCCAAGCGGCTTGAAGTAGAGGTCAGGCAGAGCCAGGGGCCTGTGACACAGTCTCAGGCACCACGGGTCCGCCCTGCATCCTCTCCAATGCCACCCCACATCTCTCCACCCGTGTCCTTTAAAATGTGAAAGTCACTCCGTGGGCAGGTAGGCTGCTTGGCAGCACAGAGGCACTTTGCCCAGTACGACACAAAATGCCTCTGCTCGCCCTGTGTCTGCCCGGAGCATGCAGAATCCTCCCACTTAGCTCCCTGTTTTTCCTCTGCAGTCAACCACAAGTAAAATACCTGTAGCAGTGTCTCCAAGGGTTTCTTTATCTTGTGCTACCTTTATGGCTCCCGGGGAAGTGGGAAGCTTTCTCAATCCCAGGAATTCTGACTATGTGAACGCCACCAGGAGAGAGGGCAGTTTCATGCATTTTAGAAAACAGGGGAATGTGAGTATTCTAACCTAGACTCCTTTATTTTCCTCTAATAAAGGAAATATAATTCAGTCCTATGTATTAGAAGATAACTGGGTTACAAGGAGACAGATCGTGATTGTTTCTGGAAAAAGTCAAGTTAATACAACAGCACAAAGAGTTCCCAGTCAGGAACAGGAACGGCTGTGATAAAGCACGGTGCAGGGCCGGGGATTTAGCTCAGTGGTTCCGCCGCCTGCCTCACAAGTGCAAGGTCCCAAGTTCAATCCCCATCCCCGGTACCAAAAACAAAAAATAAAACATGGTGCAGGAGCCACGGCTATCAACAGTGATGGAGAGGAGGAAAGAGAAAAAGCACTGCGAGGCCTGTGCTCAGGGTGTCACCCACGGCATGCATGCTGGGAAGGTTCACTAAAACACATCTACCCAGGTTTGAGAAAAAGTGTGCTTTCACCACAGTGTAACAAGATGCCAAAGGGGAATTAAAACGCCAACTACACGAAAACATCCCTAGACCAGCGCCACTCCAGACAGCCCAAGGCCTGTGTCTGCTCAGACGGACTCGAGCCAGGACCTGGTGAAGGGGACCCCAGAGGCCAGGGAGAGGATGACCATCTGCCGCTCGATCCTCATGGAGCCCAGCAGCGTGCGCTGCTCAGGCTGGGTCTTCTGTCCATCAGCGTTAGAGCGGGGAAAGCAGTGAGGGCACTGTGACCAAAGGCATCCAAGCCTTCTTTCCTCCAGTTCCCTCTGAGGAACCGAGGCAGGGCAATACCTGCCCAGCCCAGGCCCTCACTGCTGCTCGGCCCAGGCCAGTAGCTGTCACCCCAGTCACCCAGTCACTGCTGTGGGGTCTTGCACTGCCCCCTGTAGGGAAACAAAGGTGTTACTGACAACCGCCACCTGGGTGGACGGTAGACATGGGACTCCAGGATCGGAGAGGGACCCAGGGCTGGTCCTTCCCGGCCAGAGTCGCCCACAACGCTGGCTCTCTGGCCCAGGTGGAAGGCAGGCCGGTCTCCTTGGGTGCGCACCCCCCCGCCCCCGCAAACACATGCTCACACAACATGCACTCACAGGTGCACACTCACATCACTCTAGGAGCCCAGGTCCGTGAACCCGGGGCAGAAGCACTAACCCGCTATTTCTGTGCTGCCTGTCCAGGCCTCCTACTCAAAGAGGCAAGAAGACTGCCAGGGGCGATTCCTGCACCCGGGGCAGACCGTGCCCTCAGTGGTGCCCTCCGGACTCTCAACCTGTGACTGGCCACTGACCATCAGCTGCCACCGGACAAAGGCGCCTTGTGCTGGACACAGAGGTCCGGAACACGGTCCCGTGCTGGCTTTCCCCTCAGCACACACACCCGGTTTTGTACTTACTGCCAGCTCGAGAGCTCCGTTTCCCTGCCTGGCCGCAGAGCGGGACCCACTGTCCCCTCCACAGCCACCCAAGAGAAGACCGGCCCCGCTCATCTGACGGGTGGCTCCCCGGCTAGAGTTCAAACTTCACTTCCGAACACCCCATGCTGTGCGGAGCAGTCACCCTGGCTTTCCCTCAGCCCGTGTCACCACCTCCCACCTCACCTGAGGCATGCCTGGGGACTCCGCGATCGTGGACAGGAAGCAGGTGGCGGGGACAGCAGCATGGTGGACGGGGAGGGAGCAGGTGGCGCGGACGCCGGCGCCTACTCAAGCGCCCCTCGCCCCCAGCACTCTCCGGCCCCGAGGGTCCCCAGCGCCCGCCCAGCCCTCCCGGCCCGGCCTGGCCCTCGAGACTCACGAAGCGGTGCACGAGCGCCCGCGCCCGGCTGCAGTCCATGGCTCTGGCCCGGTCACGGCCTGGCGCAGGGCAGAGGCGGTGGTCGGCCCTCGGTGCTCACGCCCGGCCGGCGCGGTCCCTGCTGCGCGCGAGCGTCGCGCTACCGGCCGCTCCTGAGCCCCGCGCTCTGGGCAGCCAGACCGGCGCGTCACGGCCAGGCGCGCATGCGCCTCCCGGCCCCGCCCCCACGCGCCCCGCCCCGCCCTGCACCGGCCCCGCCCCGCGCGCTCGCCCCCGGCCTCCCCGGTGCTTCCGCCTCCCGGCGCGCTCCCGTGGGAACCTGGACCTGAGGCCCCCCCCACCCGAGCCGGGCGCCTCCTCTCGAGGCAGCTCGTGCGCC